TACCAGCTGCAGCATTAAAGTGATGGACACAGTAATTAGTCACTATGATCCAGTATCAGAGACGTTACTGGGACACGGGCCGTTCTGCAGGACAAGTACTGGTACTGATGGTACTTCAGGTATATTTGGATAGTAATACTCTGCTACGGGCCATAACTGCAAGTCTAATGATGTCGTCAGGTACAGTAGATACAAACTATACTCAAGTAGACATGAGAAGAACTCGCCGAGTACAAAGTGTGTACCGAAAGGTTTCATACAGGTTTATCACGGGTGGCAAACACACCCAAACCGTTCTAAAACATGCACAGCAGCAGATTCAGGTAAAATCAAGAGGGAAGTGTGTGAACTCGACTGAGTCACTGGGCGAGTTTCCAGCCGCCTGATTTTAGTGACGTGTTCAGTGGAAAGGGTGGAAGCTGAAAATAAACTCTGAAATACTGCAAAAACATTTTTACTCCTGTTTGAGGTGGAAAATTTTGGGCATCTCGTGTCTTTTGTCCTTGTTCTGTCCATCCCTCCTTCCTTTCTTCTAACCTTCTTTCATCCCCTTGTTGCCTTTCCTTCTCTCCTTCCTTGTCCCTGAACCATATGGTCGGAGGTTCGATCCCCGGCTTCTCCACTCCACATGTCCTTGAGCAAGATGCTGAACCCTGAGTTGCTCCCAGTGATATCGCTGGCATGAATGTGTGGGATAATGGGAGATGGTGTGTATCCCTGAGTGCAGAGAAAGGCACCTGTTAAGACCATTTACCTTTGTCCCTCTGCTCCTCCCTTCCTGTCATCCCTCCTCTCCACAGTCTCTTGCATGTATAACCCTGTGGAAGATTATGTAGAAGTAAACATTGTGTTGGGGCCCCTGAGGATGCGTGGCCCCGGAGCAGTTGTCTGCCTCACCTTTGCCTTTTAGTGAGGAAACTGTCCAGCTTGAATCCTGTGATATTTTGTCAGTTCGTTACAACAGCACATCATCAGTCAGTAGTTCAGTGACAGAGCAAGGTCGGTGAAAAGGCTGAAGGGCCCCACGTGTCTTGGTTCGAGTGTTGGAGAGGTTCAAGAGAACAGCTGAACGTGCATGCACGGTTTATAGGGACTCACTCTGACAAGGTCATTGGCATTTGTCTCAGACTGGTAAAAATAGCTGCAGCTGTCGGAGCTGCTGCTCACCTCGCAGCCTCTGGAACTGAGCGAGGGCACTGTGGCCTTGAACTGTTTCTAAGGCTTGTTTAGGGGGTTCTCCCAGTCCTTGGAAGATGTTCCAGGTGTCCTTTATGGACTGAAAGGGATTCACTGGTCCTTCAGGGGGTTTAGGGGTCTTTGAAAATGTTCCAATGGTCAATCGGGGATTCAGGTGGTTCTTGAAAAATTTTCATTTGTCCTTGAGGAGGTTCCGAGTTAATCAGCCTGATGAGTCAGACTCTCTCATCGGTCAGTTCATGTGTCCATGTTCTGCAGCACGTCTCCATGGTGATGAACCTTCGTTCAGGGTCAAAGGTCAGAGCTGTAGGTTTGTGACTGTGTGAGAGAGATGGTGCCAAGTGTGAAATCATCATAGTTACTTTTCGAATGCAGGATGTTACTTGTAATAGACCATTTGTGGTATTTCTACTACTTAGGTAAAACCTCAGTACTTCTCCCAGTGTGTGTGTGCGCGCATGGCTGCAGGTGATGATCTCCAGCCTGTGCACGTGTCCAGTCCGGTGTGAACGGGAGCTGCAGATGGAGGAAACTTTTCATTGAGTCTCTGTTATGTGACCATGTTTGGTAAAGCTACACAGACTGGCCCCGCCCCTTGAACGACTAGCATGCGCACGCACACACACACACACACACACACACGAGACGGTTTCAGTCCCAGACCTGCTGACGTTCTGTTCCATCTTCACTCTTGCCTCTCATTTTGAAAGTCTCTCTCTGTGCTTCCCAGCTACTTTCTTGCCAAATCACTCTGTTCTCTCTCTCTGTCTCACACACACACACACACACACTAAAATAAAGAAACCTGCAGACCACTTCTAGGTTCGCCTGCAGCGGCTGGACCAGTTCAGTGTGCTGCATTACCCTGAACAAAGAAAGGTCGGTGTAAAGTCAAAATAAAAGAAACCAATTATGTTTCATGTTCAACTTTACTGAAGAGCAACACTTTTAAAGAAGTCTCAGCTTTCAGCACTACAGTTACATGATCATTAGTAGTGGTCGCAGCAGACGACAACAATCCAAGGTACAAGGTCATGCTCAATCAGCGACCCTAAGGCCAGTGTGTAGTGTAGGCTGCTTCACATTAAAACCTCCAGAAAACAAGACCATAACAAGAAACCGTGTTGCATTAAAAGACACATAAAAAGAGAAGGAAATGAGCCGTACTGGTAACCATCACATTCAAAGGAACACAAATGGCAACTCATTTGATTATCACAGTTTTATCAGCAAGTTTTCCAGTTTACTGTTAAATATGAAAGTCATTCTCATGATGCACAATTCAGTTCGTCCCATTTCATCAAGCCTCAAACCAGAGATTTAATAAGGACTAAAGTAGAATCATGCAACACTGAGAACAGCAGAAGAAAACACTAAGTGCCAGATTCAGCTCTGCTATAACGTACCTAAGAGATCAATACCCGATCACAGGGCAGGAAGTTATGGGATTCAGATATACCTTCGTGATATATACATTTAAGGATAGTTGTTATATAATGAACATTGGCCTCCCCCGAGAATCAAAGGCAATGTGGTTGTTCTGACCTGATACAGATTAGAGATCAATAGATCGGATTCATCAAATCATTGACTTCCACAGCCCCGGGGTGCGACTTGCAACACAACGATCAGGTCTGAAATATTTTCTGTAGAAAACCCTGACAAATAGAAAACCTCCCAGTTTGTTCATGGACAGTCCTCCCACATGTGGTTTTTGACTGAGCGCTTGAGCTGTGCAGCAGAGAGCGGTGTTGGTCTGCCACAGGAGCTGCACTGCCGCTGCCACGCAGCCGCCACGCAGCCCACTCACCTTAGTGTCTCGTCTGAAGAAAGTTTTAGCTGGACTCTACAGCTGTTCACAGTTTTGAGCAACGAGACATTACGTCTTCCCATTGACTACCTGTACATCTTAAAGAGCTTGTATCAAAAAATAGAGCTTGTTTCCATCGCCATGGCCTTGGACACACATCATAATGCCACATCATCACCCTCAACATTCACACAGACCTACAGCTTTGGATCAGAATACTTGGCCAGGTTAATCGTTGTGCGGGCAGGTTATAAAAATACATACAGAGTACACGTGTGGAATACAGAGGAGATAATGACTGGATATTACATTACAGAGGTCATGCTAATCAAACTGTGACGGCATCACATCCACTGTTTGTGTAAAGGCACTGGAGCCCCTCCTCTGTGGCGGCAGACAGAAATCCAGGGGGTCACCGAGTTATTGCTCCACAGGGAGTGTGCTTTAGATCCACAGTGAGGACAGACAGCCGTCTGCACTGTGGCACCGGAGACACAGACTGTTCAGACACCAGGAGCCGACCTGGGTGATGTCACTGGAGTCAGCATCAGTCTTAAAAGGACACAGCAGGTGACTTTGTAGGTTTGGGTTATTTTGCACAAATCCCATTCAGAGACAAACAGCAAATGTGAGGGTCCAGACCCTGGTCCAGTTCATCACTCTGTGCCATAAACCTCCACTGTTGTCCACCAGCTATTAACCCCCCACCCCGTGAGCCACACCACTGCACTGGGGGGCAGGTTTCCTTGTCGGGAAACACGGGAGGCCGTCTGTTTCCAACAAACGGCTCCACAGGCAGACTGTGTCATCGTACACACAGTCTGAAGACAGAGTCACTGGTCTCTGCTGCAACAAAGTAAAGCAGACTGGAGACGCACAGATTGCAATGAGGACACTACACTGACTGGTGCTGTTTGTCTCCACATGGGGTTTGTGGGAAATAAACACACCAAACCACCAGCCTCATGCTTTAAGAAGGAAAAATAAAAGAATCTGTGGGTGTGGAGTTCAGGAAGAGCTGCTGCAGGACATGAGACACATTAGCCGCTGCTAGCTTCAGACACACAAACCTCCTACCAGACTGGCGGGGGTCGAGCTGGATTGTGAGCAATGTAGTTGCAAACTTTTAACAGACGGTGTCAAGAAAAATAAAAGACAGTAAGTGTGTTTCCACAGAGGAAAAGTTGGTGTCCTGATAAAAGCACGATCTTGAGGCCGTGACCTTCCTCACATCAACACATGAAACATCATCTCCATCAGGTTTTCATGGGGACGGAGCTGCGTCCTCTTCTCCTGCAGCGGCACCAACTGGACGACCAGCTCCACCAGCTGTTCATCTCGATGAACCAGCTGCTGATGTCAGACAACAGCGGTGGCTGGACTTGTGCATTTCTTGCTGAGAATTTTGCGCTACATTCAGATGGAAACACGGCTGAATCTCTACTTCATCAATGTCATTTCTTTTTCTAGAAAGTGCCCACCATGAGTCTGACAGTGTTAAACAGTAGGAGTGCAGTGCCAAGTCTGTCAAACAGAGACAGGAGGAAACAGAGTACAGACAGTTGTGGCTGTGTGGCAGAAGCCAAATCCGAGACACCCTCTTGTATCGCTGTCTGTCTTGGTATCAGCTGTGTAGGTATGAGTGCCGAGAAGAACGAAGAGTTTGTAAAACCGAGGGAAGCAAACCGGTACCTACAGAGCATGGCAGTGCTAGGAGAGCTAGCCAAACAGTGTGCGGGGGCCGCTCTAAGAATATACTGTAGAGACATGCAGGGAGAGGAAAGCATGCATTCAGTTTGCTCCGAGAGACAAACACATCAGCTGCTGCCAACACAAAGCTCCTTCACTACTGGATTAATGTGGCTAATACTGATCTACACTACTGACTAGGGTGGCAGGCTCGCCATGCTCAATGCTCGACAGTGATGACGTGCAGTTTATAGAGAAGAGAAACCAA